ACACTTTTGACTTAAATGTTCTGTTATTAGTATATTGTATTGTTGTTTCGAGGCAGGCTTGTGGCCAAGTTTCTTATCGTGCAAGAAAGACCAAGACCAACTTCTCAGGTGGAATAAAGACTATATGCTGCAATCGCAGCTTATGGTCCTTTAAGTCTTTTCTACTACACGTTTTTTAATTTACATTTAGAATGAGACTGACAGACATCGATCATAGGGACGAAAACGTAGAATTCTTAAAGGTTGAATTTCCGCATCGTTCTTTTTTTCAGATGGAACCATTAAGAATTTTTTGACGTTTTGGCACGTTCGATAATTAGTTTTAATTTGGTGGCATGAGAATATAACTTGAATTGCTACATTATTCCACCAGAAAATTTATTTACGGAGCAAATAATTGACAATCGGATCTTCGATAGAAAAGTACATTTGTAAGCGCGACTGCTATGTCTGCCGCTCTTACTTCAGCGCCGACCCAACAAACGAAACTTTATCCGTGCAGGGAAGTGAACTTTGGTAGTCTGACGATTTATTGGTAACGAAGGCACTGGTAAGAACCCAAAATAAACCCAGCGGATGTCTCGTACTGAAGCTAACTGATCGTGATAATTGAGTTAGGTTCTGTAAACAAGAATAACAAATTTAAGGTGTAGCAATAACGGTTAATCCTAGTTATTCCTAACAAAATCACTATTAATAAATATCAAAACTCGAATTTATATGTCACAATATAACTATTCACAAATATCACGCACAAATTTGCAGGTCACAATAAATAAGGTCACAGTAGCTTGATTGCAGTGAGCAGCCACCCGATCACACTTCACAGGAGTCAACGATTTTTTCTGCATTTGAAGAGTTGAGCTCTAAAATAAAATTTATTTCAAGCTTTCAAATTATCAACTGCACTCTAAATTACTGGATTGATAACCAAAATTATGTCGGAATATACGATAGTAATGTGAAATACTAACGTGAAATCAAATATGTTGCTCAAAAATGGGATCCCGTTTAATCTCGTTCTCCCTGTTCACACCGACACGACAGCTAGGGTAGCGAGAACTTTAATGTACCGCACTGGACTAGTCTTCAGAGGCTCCTAAAAATTACAAACGTTCTTATGCAATCTTAAATTTTTAAGCTGTCGACCATAGGGATGCTTGGAAATTTCAACTTAAAGCATATATGCAAGAGCTACTTCTATATGAAACAAGAACCAACACCAGGGGCCACGGCTATAAACTAAAAAAACAGCGTTGGAACACATCCATGCGACAACATTTCTTCTCGCTTCGAGTCACCGACATGTGGAACAGCCTCCCTGATAGCATCGTTGACGCTCCGAGTATGAACATCTTCAAAAACAGACTAGAAGAAGCTATGCAGGAGCATATGTTCAGTCTTAAAATGCCTAGCAAATTACGGACCAGGCTATAAGTCAGGCAGCTATCTCAATCAATCGTCAGCTATGGAAAGATCGGGTTCCAAAGGCCGGATCCCTTGTGAATCAAGTCACGAAAAGTTCAAGAATCGGCAACAGGCCATGGGCCTATTTCTTCAACGCCGACAATTCTATTCTATTCTATAGGTAGTCGCTCTATCAGACATGGTCAGAGTTGAACATTTCTATTGTTGGAGCCATCATTATTTTGTGGGCTTTAAGACAGTGATCTCCAGACAATTCGAAGTCAACACTCAAAATAATAATTTTCATCCTTTTCAATGTCTACAAGGGCATTTTATTTACAATCAAATTGTTTAAAGCTCTCTAATTCAGACAAAGCTATTCAACTTTTTTGATAGGCATTAGTCACTCTTCACTACGTGCTGCTCCACTGTTAGTTTTAAACTGGCGCCTTGCTATTGCAGTTGCAGCAACGGCTAATGCTCTGCCTGGATGGGGGTGCGGGAGGTAGACCCCGCATACCTCTGCATGGTGGGAACTTGTAGCTGTATGACTGAAAGCTCTTTTTGATGTGCACTCGAATCAAAGAAGCATTTAAACCTTTCCAGTTGGAGCTTGAGCGTTATTGCACGTGCAATTATCGAGTAGAATATGATTTGCGTATTGGAGCACATGTCCTGGGATCTTCTATCACCATCTAGGTTATCATACGTCATCAAGTTATAGCATGTTCTGTAACCACATGGTTGAGTCGCGCTCAGTTACGTCATCCCTGTTAAGGACTATATATAGCCCGAGCAGTACACTGCTCGTCAGTTGCAGCGGTGCTGCCTAGCCGGTATATTGCTAGTCCGCTACTCCAGCACGTACTTGTGCTGTGCCTGTCCATCCCCTCCTCCATCTGTACTCACTCTCGTGCCAGTTTATTAGTATAGATCTAGAGTTACCTCATGTTTCACTTGTCCTGCCGGCCGGTCCACACGCTCAGTTTTACACAACGATTTGTCTGCACTGTTCTAATCGTTGCAGATAAAACGTTGCGTGTGAACGGGAAAACTGCGCAGTTTCGAAGCCGGCGGGAAAACTGCACAGTTGCAGCGAAATCTGAGCTCCAGAGCATATATTTCGATTAACTGCGCAGATAAGTGGGAACATGTAGACGGTAGCACCGTTTTCCGATTCAATTTGTCCTCAGTTTCAATGATTCTGGCGACAATGTCGGAACTTCGGTAATGTTCGCGGTAATTTATTGCTCTATACGAATGTTTTCCTTGCATTTGGCGAGTAAAATCCAAGGACTATAGTAACAGGGAAAAAAAGTTATATATAAGTAGTAAAAGGAAAAAAAGTGAGAGCTTAGTAGAAAAATTCGAATAAATCGATGAAAACGCAAAAAGAGAAACAGCTGTAAAATAATTAAATTGAGGAGTATTTACCGAAAATAATTAAGAAAAAAATTAATAAATCGATTAAATTTGGGGCTGAAGAAGATGACATCTGCAAGCTATCTTTCTGGTAGTTTAATTGATTCCTCGCATTTCATAAATGATCCAAATTTTTTTAACAAAGCCCAAAGCCAAAACTGACCAAAATACTGCCTGCTCCATGACGAGATCGCGCAAAACCGAGCAAACTACACAGATAAGTCGGCACCGTGTGGACGCTCTAAAAATTGCAACGATTTTATTCCGACTTAAAACTGCGCAGACAAATCGTTGTGTAAACCTGAGCATGTGGACCGGCCTTTATTCATACTTGGAACAACAAAGTATCCTGACTCTCAGCTACAAATCTATCAGGTGGTCATAGAAACCGACACATGACACACATGCGGCGCACACATGTGTGAGTGCACGTAATGCAAATTCACCTTTGTTTCCTACACTCATCGGATTTATTCGATTTTTCAGTTAATAATTCCTGCAACATTAATTCTGGTGTTACTTCTTCCGGTGTATTAAGCGACCTCTGGGAATCTCTACAAAAATTCAGTGACGTCAATAGATTGAGTGAAAGAGAATTGATTTGCGTTATTTTTCTGTGTTATTCATCATATTCTTGGAGTAGAAATAGTTATTGATCTCTTAGTTTGCTCGAGTATCTGTAACAATTTATTTTTCATTCGATGATGTGACTTATGTGCTCAGAAGTGGGTATATAATATGCAGAAGTGTCAGGTTAAAAATAGACGTCTTGAGCAGTAGGAGCATGGGTTTGTATCGTCATAGGCTAAATTCACCATGCTATATGTCAAGTTAGAGTCAACTCTCCTTTTGTTCCGTCGTATAACATAGCAAACGTACGTGAGTACGTTCATCGACGCCACTTATAGAACGGGAGATGGTCATGGTTCGTGCGATTACCCTTTTTAGTCTTTAACCAACCCCATCATGCGATAGCCTCATCAGCTTGTGACCAGGGGTGTCATGAAGAATTAAGCTTGACCAGCTGCTCTTTTTTGCCATATTAGGCAGATTCGGCCCACCGGGCAACTGCCTTCCTAAAGAGGCTGCAAAATAGAAGCCAAACACCGTACAGGACAGATATAGGCCTGATTTACCTTCAAGCCGAATCCAAAGCCACCGGGAACGAAAACTTTGACAGGGTACTCGTGAATTGGAACGAAAACTGTGACAAGGTGCTCGCTTTATATTTTGCCATAGCTTCATGATCCACCACTAATAGCGGCTCCGAAATTAAAGTCCTAATTTATAATTCAAAACACTGATACATGAACAAACAGTTTATATTTTTATATTTTGTCCATAAAGCTTGCTTGATTATTATAGTTTTTATCTATCATATATACTCACCTTCTGTAGATCAGGAGTCTTCAAAATTTTCCATGTGCAGGCCACTTTATATATTTCCCATATGTATGCGGACCGCAGGAACAAAAAAAATCTGTGCCAGTAATTTTATATTGGCAAAGAAAAAAATTAAGGTATTGTCAAAGTACAGAGAAAAGAATATCGTACAGTGCTGTGCTCCCTGAAACTGAAGTAGAGAAGCCCCATTCGGCCTCCGTCCCCACAATATTCAGTTACACACAACTGATTGGTTGTAATGCACAACACATACCTACCAGTATTGTGTCTGTACGTTACACTATCGAGAGAGAGGAAAACTGACTTGCATGGGCTGAGCGCCACCAGTCAACAGGCCCCAGGCTTGAATAATTCTGCGATGCCCTTCGTACAATAATTGTTTATTCATTTCACGATTTCATCCGGTGGGCCGATTGAAATCATGTGGCGGCCGGATGTGGCCCTCGGGCCATAGTTTGGAGACCCCTGCTTTAGATCATATGCTTTATTGATGTGTTTACTTATTGAATGGACCCAACATATTTGGTGCCGCGTTAGTCTTAATCGTACCTGGGTTTATGTTTTGAAAGTAACGTTCACGATACCGTGAGTTTTCGGAGCCTCGTCTCATGTGGTTGATCTAAAATGCACCAGCAGCCATTCGCTGTCGGCATATTTGTCTTGCTTTTAGCGCGCACGATCTGATGTTTTGAAATGACAATTGATTGCAACGATGACTGCGCCGTTTCCAGCCTGGATGAATAATATTGCGTGAAAAAAAAACAGGAAAATTTTCAGCCAATTTATTGTAATGTTTATTTATTTAACTGACCCCAACAATGATACGCGCGACTACGAGCTCATCTTCAGAAAATTCATTAAATTTGAATTACCTGCTTTCATATACAGTATTAATTGAATGCCATTATTATATCGAAAGCAAAGATGAGCAGCTCCGTGTTCATTTTTTCTTACCTTCACCAGCGGTCTCGAGATCACATGTTCAAATATTATGGTATTGGCATCCTCTGGTATTCGCTATGGAATTCTCTGAAATTTTTTACCTTAAAAATTATGATTGTGCAATGAAAATGTGATTCATGCCATAAGTTGTCATTCAACTGGTGATGCCATGCAGAGCGGCCGGCGCAACTCTAGGCAGTCAAGATCGTTGAACCGATGCCGATATTCATAACCGAGTTCCAGACACCACTCGACTGTCGGGTTGTCGGGAAGCAATTTTCCGGGGTTGAACTAGTCAAGAGAAAAATATCAGTCAATTTGGTGTACATAATGATAAATGAGATATAATATTTCATCATCCACATTTTTTACAAGAATAGATAAAGACAGAGCCTTCCGTCTTACAAGGCAGAATCGTCGTAATAGTTGACAGTGGCGTCGTACTGATAAAATATAACACGAAATTCTCAAAATTATGGCTAATTTGATCGTTATTTATTTATGGAAACAGTATGATTGTACCCCGGTTTATGGTTAAGTATTTCTTAATTTGATGTATTTTTATGAAAGATCTCAGAAGGGCCAACACATGGTTCTTCTTTCTCGACAAAATTCACAAGATAGTTTTGATTAACCATCTTACCTGACCCCAATAAGGAAGTCCCATAGGAATCGAGGAACCGTCGAGCCAAAACCAGTGCTTCGTCAAGTCTACCAGGTAGCCACCCACCCAGTATTGGTGTATGTGCTGCAAATCTGGCAAAGTTGTTTGATTTTTGTTCATGTTTCTAGTTAATACGCAGAAAGTAGCGAAGCGACTAATTAAGAGTAAGTTTATTGTTGCATTTGTGAAAATAACGATTCTATTATAGTTGCGTGGTTCAAAATAACGTAAGGCAGTGAATCACAAACAATGATTAGCCCTAACTAACGCAAGTCAATTTCATTTTCTACATTGGTGTTAATCGAATTTGTATACTGTAGTTTACCGTATATAGAGAAATATATTGGTACAGAAAAAAATATTTTTCAATGTCAACTATGCATTTGAGACATTATCTTCACTTTGAATGCTATTTTTTGTAAACTGACTATAGATACCACGAAACGAGTTGTCAACCTTCACTCTATATAAGCTCCAGCAGGGGCACTTGATGGATTATGTTCAGAGACATCTTTCCATGGCCACTAATGTATCAGCTGAATCTATCTGCTTGGTCGATTGGATATTGAACGTTTATTAACCTTGCTCGAGGATGTAATTAGCCACTACTCCGAACTGCTCGCAATTATCGAATGTGACCAGATCGCCACCATCCGCCTGGCAGATATTTCTCGACGCCTCCCATGACTGCAAGGCTGAACCTTCAAAGCTCAGGCACTGACTTCCTACCGCCGTGAAAGGGAGGTTGCAATGGCCCTCTGGAAGAGCATGAAATACATTTAATTTTCACGATTTCAATATTTAGACCTTGAAGCTGCTGGCCTAAAATGCAGATTTAGGTTTAATGTTGTTAATTAATGTCGCACACAAAATTTAGCCATATCTGTGTATCATTTGGTCACGGTTTTTTGTCATACATTCGTGTTGATTTCCATGTAAGCTCATCGAATAAATAAATGTCTAAATATATACCGGCCTCTCACCTGCAGTTGGTGGCCCTTCACAGATGTGAAGAAACTCTGCTATGCAACCAAACGCCCCCATGTAGGGATTATCTCCATTGAAAATCGCAGCGCAGTCGCCCCCATAAGGCTCCCAATTGCCTCCGCCAGCCTGTTGAAAAAAAAATAAGATGTTTTTTACTGATTTGTTCCGTAATCATGCTTGCAAATTTTGATGAAATTAGTAAATTACATAACATCCACCAATTCCAGATAAACAGTTAACGACGATATTGAGCATGCAAAGACTATTTCTAAGCTGTCGATCAAAGTTTATCAGATCATGTCTAATCAATCGAGTTGCGTATATCTGAAAAAATTGTCTGTAAAACAAATTTATGAACCAGTGTTGAACATGCATCATCATAATTCAATAGAAACTACCCACCGTTCCCCAGAAGGGTGCTCCCATGGCTATAACAGAACCGTCCCACCACTGCCATTCGTCTCGGGTCACTGAGTACGTTCCACCGATCCAGAAACTATCATTCTTCCCACCTGCATTGGGTAGGAAAAGAAATTCTATCAGAATACAGTTCTTATTTAGAATATGTTACGCTATGGTTCATACTCTATATCACGAGTAATGGTCATATGCAATGAAACCTTTGCATACAGAGATCAAAATAAATATTATTTGGTATCTTAGGTTCAATAATTATTAATAAACAAATTTAATAAATTAGAACATGATTGAATGCATGGTGGGAATATTCAATTCTTTTCGGAATCGATAACTATGAACGACAAAAATGGTGCAATGCAACTTTGGGACTCACATGGTGCAAATTGAAGATATTTAGAAGGTTATTGTAAGCCCTATTCAACCAAATTTTTTTTCACCTGTTTCTTCAAGGTAGTGCACAGCGTCCGCAAAAATGTCGCAGCGGTCGAGGGTGGCGAGTTCCCCGTGTAATTCGCGACACAGAACCTGGGCCTCGAGCGCGGGCAACCACTCGGTGGAGGCGAGCACGCAGCCGCTCCCGATGTCATCGTAATTCTCAGGGCAATTCAGTGCGTGCGCTGAAATTATCAATTTAATTCTTATAAATAAAAAATCCAAATAATCGATTGGATTAGCTGGGATGATGAATTAAATGCGTAAAATTAGATCGAAACGATTAAGTGATTGCCTGTAAAATGCGTTGATAGATCAATTGAGTGTAGTAGTAGCAGAACGGCTTGCTAGCGCGTTGGTTATCAGGCTATTTTGCACTGGATGTCAAAAGTTAACATCGTCGGCAAGGCGGAAGGTCTCAATCGTTCAAAGTCTAAAATTTATCATAGCACTCAAGAGGCGGAAGGTATAAAGTATCCAACCCGCTAAAGCTGGCTCGAAAATTAATCGTATAGTAGTTATCTCCCCGTTTCAGGGTAATTAACATTTTTTAATGCTGATTACGTTCGCATAGAAATAAAAGCCAATGTAAAATGTAGATTTACCTGAAAATAATTATACTTTAAAAGCCGTTGATATCGGAGATGTAATGGGATAACTGCCCGATTCTTGCTCTCTGAAACTTGATTGTTGTACTTTTCCAACCTTACCTTGGCAGGCAGTGATGGAGCTACTTTAATATTGGCCTGCACAGATTGCAGTGATTCCCACGCTTGTCATATCGCTTTGGAAATAGGTCTTTATATCACTGTATCTCGAATACTGTCATGCAGAGGTTTCAGTTCATATATGCATAAGTATTCACAATATATTTGGTAACATATGACTGTACAATTGCGTTGCGATGTTGTCCTCTCCAGCCTATCTCTGAAACAATAATGAATAAATCAATGATGTAGTATGCAAAACCTAAAGTGCGGAAAGCTCTGAATCACACATGACAAATTCTTAAGACCACAGGATAATTACTGATCTGTTTAAATTGATGTTATTCCCTAACAATACTATGGTAAAGTCAGTGGAAACTACGCAGGCAAATTATTCTTATGAAAATTATATGCGCTCAGTGACGATAAGACTTGAGATACGATGCCGTGAACTGCTGTGCAAGGTACATCAACGTTACCGGGCTAAAAAAGCGCCGCGGTGAAAGTTCATTCATATTATCAAAAACCATATCTACTAGATCCTGATAAAGGGTGACCACGCATTGCAGCTCCTATGATGAGACCACGTCACTGCAGCTCTTATGATGAGACCACGTCACCGCAGCTTTTATGATGAGACCACGTCACTGAAGCTCTTATGATGACACTACGTCACTGCAGCTTTTATGATAAGAACATGTCACTGAAGCTCATATGATGAGACCACGTTACTTAAGCAATATGATGAGACCACGTCACTGAAGCTCTTATGATGAAAACACGTCAGCGTGAATGTCGTTGGTTTGCATATCGCCTCGTCGATGTACGTGGGAACGGAGCTCAAATTCACCAGATGGAGATGATCACAATTGACGATTACATAACTATGATTCGCACGAACTTTCACGTAATCTGCGGTAAAGTAGTTCCAAGACATCTCGTGCTGAGGCGATAGAGTAGATTTCTAACATAATCAGACATTTCAATGAATAACGAGATACTGGATGATATTTAATTGGTTTTGTACCCAATGTCCTTCACTGTAGAAAACTTAAGGTATCTTACTACCTTCACTTAGTTTATGTAACTCGGCTATGTATAAAATTAAAACCCAAAACCATTTCTCACCGGACTTCCAACTTAATAATTCTGATTGAATTTCTTTAATAAATAAAGCATTAATTTTCTTTATATAATTTGGAGCACACGCAGCAGTTTAGCAGCAGAGCCATCCATAGTTGTATAACGACTTAGAAGACAAAACTTCTCTACTCCTATTCCGCGTCCCAGCAAGCAGTTCCACTCAAACGTTTACACAGTCAGCACACAGGATTAATCAGCTCTTCATCTTCTCTCTCGGTCGACGTCAAGTTATCAGACACCAACTTCTTGTATTAAGTCTCGTCTCTATGAAGCAGTAGAGATACAGTATGTGGAGCGATCGGGGTCTGATGGTGGCTACCATTCGGGCGCTGAAGAGGTCACGGCGGACCACACTGGTACTGTCGCTGATGCATCCGGGACTTGGGCCCTGCTAGGAGGAACTTCCCTTCGGCACGGCATGAAGTACTGGCGCCACGGCGCCCACGGACCGTTGGACCATCTGGCTACGACGCCGACCTGACTGGTTCTGCATTCACGGAGGTGAGCTGCGAAAACTGTCGCGTAGGGAACGCATAAAGCTCTTCTTGATGCCTTGTCCCTCCAATTGAGGGTAGAACCTCCACTTGTGCCTATATTAACTATGTGAATATTGGAAGTCCTGTGTCTGTTGCGTAATACTTATGCTATACCACCTTAGTCGTTTTAGCTCTCATCCGTCTCTCTTAGCCTATAAAGTATATATACGAATAGCTAGGACGTCGTGTTAAACTATAATCCGTCACGTTTCAAATTAAAACGAATATTCCTAGCCGTTTCCATTGCGCAGTGCAATCTTCTATTATCTAGATTCTAGTCGAATGCGGGTGAGTGTGCTGAAGCTCGGGAGGCGCGTCCGATGGTGGCCACTGCCAATAAACAATTATTTATTTAATATTGCCTCATTTATCCGCCACCCGGCCGTGTTTTCAATATTCACAGTCGCCAGCAGCGGTTTACGGTTTCGTAGCCTCTTGCATGCCAATGTATCTACAGAGACGCTAAGAACCTAACCACAACAATCAATGCTGAACGCTGAGTCTGCAGCAACTTTCTCACTCGTCTCCGAAGCACTGCTTTCTGGAACCCCAAACCAAGCGAGGTTGCATTTTTGATCTCTACCCAAAATTTTACGTGTGCATTCGCTGGTGAGATCTGTGACGACCGCTTGCGGCCCAGAACCTTTGTGTTATCGTTATTTTTTCATAAATGAGCTTTAATTTTCCTACTTCGGTCCGTAATGAGCTTAATTCATTACGCCTAACGAGCTCAACTCTTTCATATGAGTCTATTCCATTTCGGCTCTGAAGGCTGAGAACATGAAAGCCTTTCTCTGCCACCAGTTTTTCGCTTCTTACTGCACTATATGTGCAGGTTGCTGACAGTCCTGGCACTACCAGTGAACTGCCTCGTATCTACGAATAACTGAGCATTCTGCATTGCTCAACTTCGCACAATTGTTGCAAATGAAATCCCCTCAAAACTTACAGGCGACTATTGAATCATTGATGATAGCCAGAAACAGCTTGCAAAATTTACCAAATTTTACTTGGTATTTTTGTGATTCGATCTTCGCATTTTGCCTAGCAGAACTATGTAGAGGCCATTCCAACTAGCTTTTTCCTCTCTGTCTAGGCATCGTACATTGGAAATATGAAACGCAAGTTGGAAAATCAGTTTCATACAATGAAAAATGACATCCATGCAAATAACAGTGTGTGGAACATCCATCAATTGTGGCGTCTGACCTTTCGGCTCCAATTAGATTTATTATTTTCAGAAAATAATACTTTCAGTCATCAGGCCCATCAAATAACCTAAATAACCAATACATGATGATTACCAAGTCACCGTCCCTCAGGGCCAAGATTAAGCACTTCGGTGAGAGACATGCAGTTAATTGTTAACGCATTGAACCCTTCAGCGACCAACTTTCTTGCGAGTGCAAAATTTCTCATTATTGGAAATTATTCATTGAAAAAATTGACAGACGACATATATGTCCACCTGATCATAGCTCAGTCTGGAAATAAAAGGCGATATATTTGTCCAATTCATTCTGCCTGATTATTTTCATCTTTTGTAGCAAGTAATAGTTGTCTTATGATTATCTAACGTGTTGATTCATTAATAATATTAATATGCAACGCCAAATAAGCCGTCTGGATTTGTGCTCCATGTCATTCATTGTTCACAAAGAATCGTTCTCATGCAAGGTGGAATTCAGGTAAATTTCATTGCAGTCACAATCATTGTCCGGGAAGTTACTTTAGGAGAGTAGAACGCTAATCCGAGATATTGGAGAGAATGCAGCTTGAAGTTGTTAAGTAATTTTTCATGCCGCATTAAGGATAGCTTGGATTCAATTTAGCTGAACGACCTCCTACTCAATCATGCTGGCTGCTCTTTTCTTTCAGATCGACAGCA